GCCTCGTTCTACCGTGCGAGCGCCGAGTACTACAGGTCCAAGCACGAGTTCGCCGCATACTACAAGAACACCCTGCTGTTCCTTGCCTGCGTTGACCTCAACGACCTGGAACTCCGCGACCGCCAGTCCCGCGCCTACGACCTCAGCATCGCCGCCCTCGTCTCCGACTCCATCTACAACTTTGGAGAGTTGCTGCTGCACCCCATCCTCGACTCCCTTGTCAACACCCCCCATGCATGGCTGCGCGATCTTCTCTTTGCCTTCAACCGGGGTGACCTCATGGCCTACGACGTCCTCTCCAACAACATCACAAAGGTCCCGCTCCTCAAGGAGCACCAGACCTTCCTCTACCAGAAGATCTCGCTCTCCGCCCTCACAGAGACCGTCTTCCGCCGCCCACCGCACGACCGCGCCATGACCTTTTCCGAAATCTCACAAGAGACCAAGGTCCAGCCCAACGAGATTGAGCATCTGATCATGAAGGCGCTGAGCCTGGGCTTGCTCAAGGGCCAGATTGACCAGGTCGCCGAGATTGCGCGGATCAACTGGGTACAACCAAAGGTGCTGGACATGAAGCAGATTGAGGGCATGAGGACACGGTTGAAGGAGTGGGATGCCAGCGTCAACCAGCTGGGCAACTGGATCGAGGGTGTGGGCAAGGACGTGTGGGCTGCTTGAGCGGGTACCGATACCTGTCTGTAGCAGTCATTCGGAGCTGCCTTGCAAGCAGAGGAGCCCGCTAGTCCATGGACGAGTAGTCGATCGCCGCAACGAAGAGGCTTTGCACACTATGTAATCGTAGATAATCACCAGCACAGTCTGTGACACGGGTTGATGAACGAAAAGACTTGATGACACTATATACCACACTCTCTTTCACATGCCACTGGTGAAATCATTTCCAGCAGCCGATTTTTCTTCAATCCTATATTAGCACAAAAAAAATCCCCCACTCCCTCTTCACATCTCCCTCCCGCCCCCCCCCCCCACCGTCCAGCTTTCCTCACTTACTCCCACATGCCCGTCGCAACAACAACAGCACCAACAAGCCACGCAGGGAACCAAACCAGCCAAAACACAACTTGCGTCCACATGCCCCAAACATGCCAACCAATGGCGCTCTGCACTAGGACATGTGCCAGATCAGCGCCCAGCACCTTGGCCCCCGTCTGCACGACGAGCATGGGATTCAGCAGCGCGAGGAGAAGCAGCTGGATAGCCGTAGCCCCACTGTTGCTACTCCTCCTTACAAAGCTCAACGGCACACACGCAACGCCGACAATCACACTCAGCGAGAAGTTGAGCGTGGCGAGCGCAGCGAGAAACATGCCGAGTAGCAGCAGCGAGAAGCACTGGAGCAAGCAGAGGGCCTGCGGGGTGAGCACGTCGGGGGCGGACCAGAAGAAGAGGAAGGTGATTGCGAGCGGGGAGAGCGTGGTTAGGTTGCAGGCTGTGAGGAAGAGGCCGCGCAGCTTGGCGGCGTCCCAGTTGTTGAAGAAGTAGAGGGGGATCAGGCCGGTTGCGTGGGCGGCTAGCACGAGGACGAGGGGGAGCAGCAGGTGGCGTTCTGTTATTTTTGTGGAGGCGGCGGGCACGATGGCTAGGGAGCCGTTTTGCTCGACAAGTTTGATGGGTGGGTCGTCTTTGGTAGGCTTCTTTTCTGTGGCTTCATCTTCTTTGCGTCCTTCTTCTTTCTCGGAAGAAGCCTTCTTTTTAGTCGAAGGGATGGAGCCTTCCTTGACTTTTGTAGCTTCTGGTTTCGTGGCTGCGGGGTTTCCGATGGGCTTTTCAGCACGTCCACTCTTGACCCAGAGAGCCATTGCGGCGATACTAAAGTTGATGGCTATCATCATGGCGGATGGGAGGTATGTGCCGATGCTGACGAAGCGCTTATCTTGCAACAAGAGGTAGAAGAAGAAACTCTGGTGGAAGTGCTCGAGGAGGTTGTTCAAGCTTCTGAACAGCGACTCGACAGTCTTTCCAAGCGACATCTCGTCATGCCACCCATTTCCCACTGTCACCAGCGTAACGGCATCGACGTGGTATGGGATGAATGACGAGTGGGGTCCCGTCGCGTGGCCAAGACCCTGCGAAAGCATGCCTCGAAGCATCGTCTGGAGGCGCTCCTGGTATGAATCGCCGTGATTCCACATGCGCTGAATCACACAGCCGATGCCCAATTGCCCGGATGCGATCTGAACTGCCGTGTTGAACAAGTCAAGATTTGGCAGCTGACCGTTGATACCATCGTACACTACATGCAGCTTATCGTATCGGTAGCCCCATGGACCGGCGGGATAATCGACAGCAACAGCACCCTGCAATGCCCCGCTCTTGATCTTCAAACTTTCGACATGTCGCTCGTCATGGCCCTCGTGGTATGCATCGACCCAGGCCTGCGACCCGATTGTGCTGTCTCCCGGGATAAGGAAGATGATATCCTTGCTCCAAAGACTCCATCGCTTGAAGTAGCGTGCCAGTGTGAGGACCAATGCGACACCGGAATTGTTGACTTCGTCGGCCATGTTCTTCCATGCTCCGATTAGCACAATGGCCTCTGTAGCGTCGGCGCGGGGACCCTGGAGGATAGCGTAGACATTTTCGTTTTCGATGGTGCGGTTCGAGACGGTGTAGTTGTAGTGCTGGGTTGCGACTTTGAGGTTCTGTTCGCGGAAGATGGATTCCAGCTTTTGAGATCGTCTTTGAGATGTTAGCTTTTCAGTCGCCTGTTTGCATGGCCAAAAATACCCACTCTTTGACGGGCTTATCTTTTAATCCATGGACCTCATGGCGATAGGCCCGAAAGACATTGTGCTCGCTGCCGGTAAAGTACGTGTGTACTTGTCCTGGTAGGAGCGCATTCTCAGATATATATGTCCTCCGCGAGTACTCGTTCAGCGGAAGTACCAGCAGCCATCCTATGCCGACGATGATCAACAGAGCAGAGAGGTACGGCGGTATCTTCAGTAGACGTTTATCTTGCCGGAGCGCCAGTAACGATGCTTCGCAAGTTAGCTGTGACGTCGACACTACTCCAAATCGCAAGACTTACAGAGCAATGCCATGATGACCTCTCAATCGCGTCATGTAGAAGAACCGGAGAAAAAAACCGAAAAGGAGTAGTGGTCTGCCTCTCTGCCCAGCATTCCTACCCCAATCCGTCTTGGAAGGTGGTAAGACAACTGCGGCGGGAGGATCGTCACTAGCGCAACGCGACCCTGCCCGCCTGGACCCTAGTCCCATACTAATCTTCCGTCCGCTGGGCTCGTCTTGCAGCAGCAGCAGCAGCAACAACGCGCTTGCACATCAACAACTGCGCCGCTCCGACCATGCCCGCAACCTCGCTCCCCCAGTTCAACCCTGCGCGCATACGGTCGTACATTCTGCGTCTGCCCTTTTGCACCAAAGTACTGGTTGCCGCCATTGTAGGATTATGGATTGCGACAATTCCCTTTCCCTGGATACGGGACTTTGGGCGCTTGGAGCCGGCTAAGATGGACTTGACCCAGAGTATGTGTTTTTCTTTGACTTACAGCGAGGATGGATATGGGGCTTCGGTGGCTTGTGCTGTCATTCCGACCTGCGGCACTCTCGGAAGCTTGGGAGATGGACTACAGAGCAAGGGACTCGCGGAGTTTATTGTGGGACTGATTTTGGGATACGACGGCTTCCTGATTATCTATGATGGAAACTATGCTAATATGTCATTTCTTACAGTGCATCGACTCAACTTGTTTCCCGTCCTGCATTGGAACTTCCTCCACATGATCTTCAATCTTGTCGCTGTAACACCACTCATCGAGCGCTTCGAGTCCGAATACGGAACATTAGTCACATTGGCGCTGTTTACTGGGCGTAAGACATGCTGGAGGGGATTGAATTGAATACTGGAGCTGATCATATGGCAGCTTTTGGAACGATACCAGGAGGCGTATACACATTGCTTGAGAAGTTCGTTCTGAGGAGCAATACCGCCGTCATGGGCGCGAGGTACGCAGGAAACGTCAAGTCAAGACTGAAATCAACTACTAACCCACCACAGTGTATGGGTATTCCTCCTACTTTCCGCTGAAGTTATGAAGACACACAAGACAAACCCCTCTTTCAGGTACACCAACACCACACCACCTCTTCCACAACCCCACCGCTAACTTCCCTCCAGCGTCGGGCCCTACAAGATCCCCACCTGGACTACCCCGCTCGTCCTCATCGTCTTAACCAGCATCCTCGTTCCATACGTCAGCCTAGTCGGCCATCTTTGCGGCGCAGGCCTCGGCTACCTCTGGGCCACCGGCTACATCAAGTTCCTCGTTCCCCATGAGAAGATCCTAAGGTGGATTGAAACAAAGCTGAACCTCTTGGGCCGTCTCCCTCACTACGTTAGCGTGGACCAAAAGACGTACGGCCGCTATGGCGTTTTGCCTACAACGAGCATTCCGTTGGGTAGCAGGAGTCCCGACGGCGGACAACGCCTTGGGCCATGAATTCGTGGACGAAACATGAAAACGATATTGGAAGGCGGGTCTTGTCTACTCGGCGTTTTCTTTTCTTGCATCGCATACGGCGTTTGACGTTTCTCCTCTTTCCTCGTGGAGAAGACGGGTCAAAATATCGCCACCAACGACCCGTCCTTCTTGCAAACCCCTTGTACATATATATAGATGTAACGCGCCATGCTCATAATTCTAATCTTCTCAAAAGTTACACCATCTGCTCCAAACCAACCAGCCATGGTTCGTCCATCTAACACCCACCCCACCTCACTCCCCTCGCCCCATCCCACTAGCCCCAATCCCAACCGCACAGTCCACAGCCTACAGCCCCTCACCGCAGACTCTGTTCCCCCGCCCCACCACCCAATGTCCCCGCAGCATCCACCTCCAATCGTGAATTTTTGATTTCAACACTGTGATTATATGTTTTTTAACTGTCAAATCTTTCATCGAAACAAATCACCAACGCGAACGGGTTGTTCGCGCATTCTTGAAGTAATTTCAAAAGTCTCGTTGGTGTAGTTGGTTATCACGTGGGTCTCATATTATCATGTATGACTACTAGGGCACTAGTAGATATCCCAAGGCCGCCAGTTCGAGTCTGGCACGGGACAAGTGAATTGTTTTTTTTGCGTTCACGGTGGGCAGTGACGGAATTGTGTTTCTTTTTTGCGTGGGTGGGGAAGGGGGGTACGATGCTTGTGAGTGTTGGTGGTGGTGGTAGTGGGTAGACCCTGGGCGAAGGACGCAGCCTGCCAAGGCACACACTCCGAACGTGGACGAAACAGAGATGAACGGACATTCTGACATAGCATAACCATAAAGTGAGATGAGCGTAATAGAAAATATTCCTAACATCACTCGTGCAAGACTGAAATAGCCCTAGCGACATCATGGTAATGACGATGTGACATGTGAAAGGAGGCTGAGGTTGGGAACAAGTTTAAATGACCAACGCGTGGCGATCTGGATTGGCTGCCTACTGGTGCCTCAAGAGAATACTCGAGGTTAATGGATTTATTCGTTGTTTGTCTACTCACCATCTATACAAACTTGTTGTATTCCGGGAGACAAGACTACCTGATAAATGGTTGAATCTGGACTGTATGCCATGTTCCTAACAAGAGCCCACCAGGAACATTACTGGTCGTGTACAGGCTCGACGTGCCATTGCGTGGCCATACGAGCCTTGAGAACATGTAGTCGGCTGTTCTGGGCGTAACACGGTAGTGACGCGCTTGAAAAGACGCGTCGTCTTCATGCGGATAGTGAAGTAGGGTCTAGGGCTTACCGAACCTTTTACGCGTCAGTGCTAGCCCTACTACACATAATACACATGTCCATACCTCACTAGCCTTGAGCAAGTGCGAAGTCGAGCGCATCCATGCAGTCGACTGACATGCGGCCTAGAAGGGATCAATCGTAGTCCTGGCGGCGTCTCAGCCAGTCATACTCTGGTCTCCATCTCCGCCCTCAGCTTGAGCGGCTGGCTGGCCTAGCTCCTTCAAAGAAGCCTTCAGTTGGGCAATGCGCGCCTCGAGGTCCTCAATCTCATCTTCCTGGTCCTCCAACGTGCGATCGATGTCTGGTAACGACGTGACTGCGCGTCGTGCTTTTTGTATCTTCAGACGGATGTCGTTTGCAGCGGTCGCGACATGTTGAATCTCGAGTGGGCCATCCGCCGAAAGTTGCGCAGGGGTGGGGGTGGCAGCTGGCGGTTGAGCAGACGTCTCGAGTATGCGCTTGAGCAGCTTGTGGAGGTCGGGGAGCACATCGAAAGTAGAGGGCGCAGGGAGGGCCGGAGTAGTCGTCGAGGTGGGCAGTGGTTGACCTGGCGTCGCTGCACCCGCGGGTGGAACTGAGGCGCGCACCGAGGCAGAGGCGTATGGTGTTGGTGCTCCGGACATGTTTGTTGATTCCAACCTGGGAAGATGTTCGGGCGAATGCTATCTAGCGTGTTGGGGTGGGATGACGCCCCTGGAACGGGTAGGGCTGAAGGAGAGGTTGCTGGTTGGACGGCCTTCTCGCGCACGATTATCGCAGTAGTCGATTGATACGAGTTTTTCGGTGTCAAATTGATCGCCAAATCGCGTCAAAGCCTTTGGTAAGTCGAGATAAGTTTCGACCGTGGGTTGTGGGGGTCGGGTGGACCGGTTTGTGAGCGAATGTGACGTTGAACTCCGGCCGGCCATGCTTTTTCGAGGCCCCGCCAACTGCCCCTCCGTCAATATCTAATTCACCAACTTGTCCTTCACACCCCTCAAACCTCTCTTCTCGAGCATATCCTCGAGTTCTTTCATTTCCCCCAAGACTCCACTAGATTGGTCTGCAATCATGGCGAAGGTCGACCAGAAGACAGTCCTCATCGTCATCGACGGATGGGGCGTTGCGACTGAGAAGTCGCGCAAAGATGGCGATGCTATCCTTGCGGCCGATACCCCTACCATGGACGAGTTTGCCAAGGAGGGCTCAAAGACTGCGCAAGGATACACTGAATTGGAGGCTTCTTCTCTCGCAGTCGGCCTCCCCGAGGGCCTGATGGGCAACAGTGAGGTCGGCCACTTGAACATTGGCGCAGGACGCGTCGTTTGGCAAGATTCCGTTCGCATTGGCCAGACCATCAAGAACGACAAGTTGAAGGATGTAGGCAACATCAAGAAGTCGTTCCAGCGCGCCATCGACGGTAACGGAAGGTTGCATTTCTGCGGGCTGGTCTCAGACGGTGGCGTCCATTCCCACATGGACCACCTGATTGCGCTCCTCAAGGTCGCAAAGGCACAGGGCGTCCCAGAGGCATACATTCACTTCTTCGGTGACGGCCGAGACACGGACCCCAAGTCGGCTGTTGGATACATGGAGACGCTGCTGAAGGCGACCAAGGAGATTGGTCTCGGTGAGATCGCGACAGTGGTCGGCCGTTACTACATCATGGACCGTGACAAGCGATGGGACCGTGTCGAGTTTGGCATGAAGGGTCTTGTTACTGGAGAGGGTGAGGAGAGCAGCGACCCAGTTGCAACCATCAAGGAGCGATACGCAAAGGACGAGAACGACGAGTTTCTGAAGCCCATCATTGTAGGAGGAAAGGAGCGAAGGATACAAGGTAAGTCGCTAGGCCGAGCACCTGCATGTCTACTTGCTGATTCGTCCATTCAGACAACGATACTGTCTTCTTCTTCAACTACCGTTCCGACCGTGTTCGTGAGATCACCCAGCTCTTGGGCGATGTCGACCGCTCACCCAAGCCCGACTTCCCATACCCCCAGAACATCCACCTTACCACCATGACCTCGTACAACCCCAAATACACATTCAACGTTGCTTTCGAGCCCCAGCGGATGACAGATGTTCTCGCAGAGACTCTCGGAAAGCAAGGTGTGAAGCAGTGTCACGTTGCTGAGACGGAGAAGTACGCTCACGTTACGTTCTTCTTCAACGGCGGTGTAGAGAAGCAGTTTGAGAACGAGGAGCGCGAGATGGTTCCCTCGCCCAAGGTGGCTACGTACGATTTGGAGCCAAAGATGAGCGCCATGGCTGTTGCCGATAAGCTCTGTGAACGTATCCAGACCGGCAAGTTCGAGTTCCTCATGAACAACTTTGCACCACCAGACATGGTTGGCCACACTGGCGTCTACAAGGCGGCCATTGAGGCATGCACAGAGACGGACAAGGCTATCAAGAAAGTGTACGACCAGTGCAAGGAAAGCGGATACGTCTTGTTCGTTACCGCGGATCACGGGTAAGTCATGGTTCTCAATGCAGCAGACGATGAAGGAAAACAGCTGACGACTCGATAGCAACGCCGAAGAGATGCTCACAGAAGAGGGCACTCCCAAGACGTCCCACACAACCAACAAGGTGCCGTTCGTCATGGCGAACGCCCCTGAAGGCTGGAGCTTGAAGAAGACGGACGGCGTACTAGGTGACGTCGCTCCTACCCTGCTTGCGACCATGGGTCTTCAGCAGCCTGAAGACATGGATGGCCACAGCCTGCTTGTCAAGTCGTAGTGTCTTGACGCCATCATATTCGGTTCTTGCTTAGCTCTACGCGCATTCGAAACAAGGGTTCCCGCGATAGACGTATACCATATTTTAGATAAATGACAATAGAAACCTCCCCGTGTCGAAGGAGTGGCCCGCCCATAATTCCTTCTGCACACTACTCTCGGTACATGGTGGTCCTGCAGCCCGGGAATGCGGCTGGTCCGCTGGTCTAGCCGCCAATCAGCACTCCCATCACCTTGGCGATGACAGGGGTAGACTTAGCGGGGGATCGTGTGGACCCCTCCAGCTCTCAGCACGCTTCACGTCACGCCAACCTTCTCTTGCAATTTATGCTCTATCTTGCCTGCGCTCATTCATATCTGTTAGAAGGGGTTTCCTGTTCACGTGGCATTTCAATCGGTTCGGTCTACGACCCAATATCCCACCGCGCGCATCGAGGGGCTGTCTACGCTATCTGCACCTACTAGCAAGTCGATCAGACACACCGACGCCTCACCAAACACTCGCCATCGCTACAACGCAGTATAGCTTTTCGGGAAAAGCCGCTATAAGCCCGACTGACCACTTTAACTTTCGCTTCGAGTTCAGCATCCACAGCCGTCGATACCCAGCCCGAGACATCAGCGCCCGATTGCGCCCTCCCAAGACCCTTCTTGTCACACCGAGCATAGCACTGCTCTGTAACGACTTCACAGAAGACGCTTCGCAAACCTCAGCTCAGACGCAAAAAAAATGGCAACTAAAACTTCCAACGGGGGCTCTGGGGCCCAAACACCACAAGCTGCAGCCCAAGTGCAGCCTTGCAGATACAAGACGGGAAAGACACTAGGCGCAGGCAGCTACTCTGTCGTCAAGGAGTGCGTGCATATCGATACTGGGAGATATTATGCCGCAAAGGTCATCAACAAGCGGCTCATGGCTGGCCGAGAACACATGGTCAGCTGAACATGGAGACATCAGACAAAGTATTAGCTGACATGCGCCAGGTCAGAAACGAGATCGCGGTACTCAAGAGGGTTTCCATGGGCCACAGGAACATCTTGACGCTTGTTGACTACTTCGAGACCATGAACAACCGTGCGTTTCAACTCACGCCGAGCTGAGCCCGACTAACGCCCACGCAGTTTACCTCGTTACTGACCTCGCGCTCGGAGGCGAGCTTTTCGATCGCATCTGCCGAAAAGGAAACTACTACGAGTCCGATGCTGGTGACCTGATCCGAGCCACGCTTTCTGCAGTCGCATACCTTCACGACCACGGCATTGTCCACCGAGACTTGAAGCCCGAAAATTTATTGTTCCGAACACCTGAGGACAATGCTGACCTCCTCATTGCCGACTTTGGACTGTCTCGAATCATGGATGAAGAGCAATTCCATGTCCTCACCACCACCTGTGGTACACCAGGCTACATGGCGCCTGAGATATTCAGAAAGACTGGTCACGGAAAGCCAGTGTAAGGGAGATTTGCTGAAGTTGAAGTATATTGCTGACACATCTATAGTGACATTTGGGCTATTGGTGTAATTACCTACTTTTTGCTCTGTGGCTACACTCCCTTTGATCGCGACTCCAACCTCGAAGAGATGCAGGCCATCCTTGTTGCCGACT